CAAGTGAAGATCACTAACTGATGGTCAAGTGAAGGTCACTAACTGATTGTCATGTAAAGAACACTAACTGATGGTCAAGTGAAGAACACAAACTGATGATCAAGTGAAGGACACTAACTGATTGTCATGTGAAGAACACTAACTGATGGTCAATGAATAACACTAACTGATGGTCAAGTGAAGAACACTAACTAATTGTCATGTGAAGACCACTAACTGATTGTCATGTGAAGAACACTAACTGATGGTCAATGAATAACACTAACTGATGGTCAAGTGAAGAACACTAACTAATTGTCATGTGAAGACCACTAACTGATTGTCATGTGAAGAACACTAACTGATGGTCAATGAATAACACTAACTGATGGTCAAGTGAAGAACACTAACTAATTGTCATGTGAAGAACACTAACAGATGATCAAGTGAAGAACACTAACTGATGGTCAAGTTAAGAACACTTACTGATGGTCAAGTGAAGAACACTAACTGATTGTCATGTGAAGAACACTAAATGATGGTCAAGTGAAGAACACTAACTGATGATCAAGTGAAGATCACTAACTGATTGTCATGTGAAGAACACTAACTGATGGTCAATGAATAACACTAACTGATGGTCAAGTGAAGAACACTAACTAATTGTCATGTGAAGACCACTAACTGATTGTCATGTGAAGAACACTAACTGATGGTCAAGTGAAGATCACTAACTGATGGTCAAGTGAAGGTCACTAACTGATTGTCATGTAAAGAACACTAACTGATGGTCAAGTGAAGAACACTTACTGATGGTCAAGTGAAGAACACAAACTGATGGTCAAGTGAAGAACACAAACTGATGATCAAGTGAAGAACACTAACTGATGATCAAGTGAAGAACACTAACTGATGATCAAGTGAAGAACACTAACTGATGATCAAGTGAAGAACACTTACTGATGATCAAGTGAAGAACACTAACTGATGGTCAAGTGAAGGTCACTAACTGATTGTCATGTAAAGAACACTAACTGATGGTCAAGTGAAGAACACTAACTAATTGTCATGTGAAGAACACTAACTGATTGTCATGTGAAGAACACTAACTGATGGTCAAGTGAAGGAACACTAACTGATGGTCAAGTGAAGAACACAAACTGATGATCAAGTGAAGGACACTAACTGATTGTCATGTGAAGAACACTAACTGATGGTCAAGTGAAGAACACAAACTGATGATCAAGTGAAGAACACTAACTGATGATCAAGTGAAGAACACTTACTGATGATCAAGTGAAGAACACTAACTGATGGTCAAGTTAAGAACACTTACTGATGGTCAAGTGAAGAACACAAACTGATGGTCAAGTGAAGAACACAAACTGATGGTCAAGTGAAGATCACTAACTGATTGTCATGTGAAGAACACTAACTGATGATCAAGTGAAGTTCACTAACTGATTGTCAAGTGAAGAACACTAACTAATTGTCATGTGCAAACTGATGGTCAAGTGAAGGTCACTAACTGATTGTCATGTGAAGAACCCTAACTGATTGTCAAGTGAAGAACACTAACT